CATACACTGCATAGTAACCTTGGAAAAAAACATATTTAGGGAAGGTACTGTCAGAGTGTCACTAAAGAAAAGAATGATCAATTTAGTACATGGATTTCAGAAAAACTAGCCATGTATCTACTTTGCTCAAATTTTTCAAGAAAAATTATCTATTTGGCATTACTGTAATACTGACAATATTCATTTTTAACAACTACAGAAAATTATTTTGCATGTACAGCCAATGCTGCTATAGTGCTTGTTTTATAAAGGTTAATTTGTTCCCTTGGTATTGGGATGTTTGAGAACAGTTTGAACTTAAGACTAATTTTGCGTTTGCATATGCACAATTCCATCTGTTAAAAGCACTAGATGAATGCAGAAAACTGCATACAGCAGAATGAACTGCATAAGAATACACAAAATGGGCACATGTATATACCTGAAATATCCATCAGATATTTCAGCTCACCACATGTGGATAGGAGCCTGTCCCATCTACATCTGGTATTTAGAACTTTCCGTCCTAGTCAGATAACTTTCCTTTTCACCATTTCACAATAACTCACAATTTACAACTCTTCTGACATCCACTTTCACAAGATAAAGTGTCATATTTGGTATGGCATTTGTGTATCCCTTAACCACTAATATATGAAAAACTATGCTGTCATTCTTATTAGGTTCCTTTTTTTAATGTGTCATTGATTATGTTTTTGAATGTTGCATCCCTAACTTCATTTTTTCCGTAACCCTCTGGTTATGTGTGATTTTGCATAGTGCAGTGAATTGCAGAAATGCATGCTTTGTCTTGTAGCCGAACTGACTGTATGTGTTAATGAAATGCAAGGGACAAAACACCCTGATAGACACCCTGATAAGATGCCACAGTATTTCTGAGCAGAGATACTCTAATTTCTTGTGAAAACTTTCTCTAACACATTATCCAAAATAAGGTTTATCGGCAAAAAGAAAAGAAAAGGCGGGGGGGAAAACTATGCGTGACACATTTCTTCTTCCACTTACCTTTTGGAGACAGAGGCGATGTTGTTTCTGAAGGCTTATACTTCTATTAGCAGCTCTGCCACACTTAAAATGTCTCAGATCTACAGTTTGGAGGAATTTTGCTCCTGAGAAATTATCTTACCAAGTTATTTTAGGACCTCAGACCTGAAACTGGCTACTATCCAAGTATGTTATGTGAATTAGACCTTTCCATCTGAAAACTTAATTTATTTTCAGAAAGCTTTGTAAGTATGTCTGGATATCTACATTTGCATAATCACCACTCCCCTCTTCTGCCTTCCTCTCTCTCAGGCACAGAAGTGCGTGGTTGCCACGTATATTTGGAAGTGAGTGTATGTGACTTTCAAACCCCTGGAATTGGTGTTCTAGAGCTCCTGACGCTGAACACTAATGTATTTTTCATTAGTGTTTAATGTTGGGAAATCCCATTTCCCGGAGCCCAAGGATTAAATTACTTCATATGGGAGGGAACAAGTGCATTCCCCATCTTTTTCCTGAGGTGAAAAGGAGAATGAATCTGAGATCATTTGCATTTCATAAAGGCTTAAGGTCTGGACGTATTCCACTCAGTGCAACAATCCAATATTGTGAAAGCGTTTAAAGACAATATGAACTAGTAGGGAAACTTCCATATATTTGAAATGTGGAAATAAAAATACACAGTAAAATAGATAAAAATCAAAATATCCATATATATTATATGGATATGCATTATATGTAGATAATCTAAATGACTAGATAAAGCCATTCTACCTGCAGCAGAAATGTTATAATAATACTATGATTGCACTTTTCAATGAAGTAAAATTTTTATCATTTTTCATAATAGAGTTGCAAAGATTTTGAGGTAATCTAGCAAGAAATAAATCTAGATGTTAATGAGATATTCTTTTTCTTTGGAGCAACTGTACTGAAGAGAAACCCGTTCTCTTGCACAGCTGTGCTGACAGAAACCCCTACTGATTAAGCTAGTAGCTGTCACACATGTTGTTTAGAGGGGTTCTGAACACAAGACCTCAAATTGACTCCTCTTCTTCTAACCTTGAACTCCCACCTTTTGCCTCCCTTCCCTCGGGTCATTAAGTGCTCTCCCACGAGTGGCATTAGACAGTAGATCTGTAGTGTGTCACTGGTGCTTTTTTCACATCGTGAAGAGGCATCATTTTAAGTACCTTCTTCAGAGTATCATTGTCCTTTGTCATAGCTCTGGGAGGCATTCCACTAAGATCTTCAAGGGGAAAAACTACTTCTCTGTCAATTGAATAGATAGCAAGTGGCTACAACAGAATGAGAGCCAAAGGAAACACAGAAGGTGGTTATCTGGGTCCCATGATCCAGTCAATCCCTCTTCTACTAGCAAAAGATTTTAGAGATCTTGCTCTGTACCCAGAACTTTGCTCAATGTCATACAGCATACAGGAGAAGTAGAAGGAAACCTTATTCTAAGAAACATGCAGTCTATTTTGGGAGAAAAGACAAAACACATAGGATGTGATGGGGATGCTATAATATTGCCAACACAGGGGTCAAATTTATGGCAAAACCAGTAAATGTTAAAGTCATAGAAGAGAGTCATGTTTATGTTCCGAAATAGCATAACGGAAAGAGTGCTGGGCAGAGTACTGGGATTTCAGATAACATAACCTGTGGGGGTGGGGGAGAGTTTTAAGTTCAGTCTATCTGTTAAAATGTCACTTAATTTACAAAAGCACGTGGAGAAAAAGAGTAAAGGAATCATCTGGCATGGGCAGGAAAAAGTATACAAGTTGAATGACCTTGAGCAAGTCAGTTCACCTCTTTGGGTCTTGGATCTCTCATCTGTAAAATGGCGAGTGGAGAGAGGCAAGCTTAACTAGATGATCCCTATGATTTCTTCCAGTCTTATAATTTTATACTTTTACACTTTTATTACATTCAATAAACAAATAGTCAACAAAATGCATGTTCAAGCGCATTTTACATGAATTAAATTTAATTGTTAGGAAAAGGGATTATTATTATTATTATTATCCTTATTTTACAAGTGAGGGGTTAAAGCTTCTAAAGGGTGGATGCAGAACTTAAACCCAGATTTGCCATACATCCCAGTCCAAGTCCTCTGCACTTTCCACTATGCTGTGTTGCATACCATTACACCACAGTGCCTTCCTTTCTACATTTAAGGAGTCATGGTCAAAGAGAGAAGTGGACATAATAAACCTAACTGAAAAATCAAGAAAATGTGGACAATTCTTTGTCTCTAAATCTTATGAGGGAAAAGAGAACTCATATTACAGAGATCTGCAATACAGGGAATGAAGCATTAGCCAGAGAGTCAGGAGATGTGAGTACCTAGTCCTGGCCATGCCACTAACTTGCCAAGTGACCCTGGACCTGTTTTCTCATTTGCAAAATGAGAGCATCTCCAGAGTCCTTTGGGTTTCAACATTCTGTGCTTCTTTGAGTCCCCAAAATGGAAAGCACACTTCTAGTTATGGTTATGAGTATGAGCCCAGAGGTTTAAAAAAAGTTAATGAGATGTTAAGTATTTGTGATGATTTTTTTTTAGTGGACATGGGATTTGAGCTGGGCCTGGAATAATGGGGGTGATTTAGGAAATTCATGAAGCATTTTAGTTCTTTTTAAATATACAAGAATAGCTGACCATCTAAAGGAATCCTTTATATAAAATGAATGATCACCACTCCCTTCTCTATCTATCTTTTGTACAATTCAGATTTTCATATAGTGAGTTTATTTAAAGGGAGAGCCACCTGTGCTAGAAAATACAGCCAAGAATTTGTCATGCTCTTGGGAGAGTAATATTGTTTTTAAAAATAAAAACCATGCCAATGTCTTTAAAATTCAAGTTTGAAGTAAAAAGATTGAAAGAAGTGATTTTTTTTTTTTTCTGTGATCAGCCACTGCAAAGTGGGCCTCAGCACAAACCAGCTGAGCCCTTTGCTAGGCATCGAAAGCCTCTGGCGTTTTTCTGCTTTTCAACTCTCAGTCATTTGGGAGGTGGGACAAAGCCATGCTGTCTACAAAGTTTATCCAGAAGGTGCTGGTGTTACAAGAAATCACTTGACATCTATTATGTTTCTCCTGTGGAAGAGAGGTGGCTATCAGCTACAATAGTGATTTCTTTTTAAAGGGGTTTAATTGGGGTATTTCTCATGGGCCAAATTCTAACTCACTGTCTTTACGTGTGCCTGTCAGGAAAACAGTGGAAAAATACTAAACAATAGCAACAACAGAAGCCTGAGGACCGCTGTCCCAGGCTGCCCCTCTGTAAACAAGCAGAAAAAAATCTGTTTCCCTGCTGCCTAAGCTGCTGCTAACATGGCAGAGCTCCTAGAAAGGTGTGGCAAAGGGAAAAAGGTGCAGACTGTGCTTTGTATGGCCATGGAAATATGTATAACAACTTGAACAAACTCCTTTTAGCCTACCTTTTACAAATAACACTCTAAGTTGGGGGGGGGGGGCGGCTGGCAAAGAGATTAGTTTCACACAGCCAAGTGACACACTCGTGAGCTGTTTTTCTAAAATATGGATTTGCTCCTGTATAGGCAAGCTCACATCCTTTCCTGGCGTAAGCCAGAAGGTGGCCTTATATTTTTATTTGAAGTGCCAAATGATCTTCCTTGCAACAAATTTGTGCCTTTTGCTAGTATTTTCTGAAGTGAGAATTTTGCAACTGATGGAAATCAGCTCACTTCTATTCTGTAACTTGGTGTCTTGTTAATGATTTATTTGTTCAGTAGCAGAAACTATGACAAATGGTGTGAGGCGGCCTCATTTACTTTTTAGCTGCTATAGCCCTAAAGAATTTATATGTAAATGCAACTGCAAATGTTTTAAATTTCATAAGCATGCTGCACGTGCCTTTGTAAGTTAAGTGGCATTTTTACAGATAGACTGAACAACCTCCCTCACTCCACAGGTTTTATTATCTGAAATCCTGGTAAGTCTGTCGTGCTAGTTTCCCTGACTGCCAAGTGGGAGAGTAAGTCTCTATTTTGTGTTTCTCTTCTCTTTAGATGTGCAGAGCAGCCCACACAACCAGTTCACCTTCAGACCCCTCCCGCCGCCACCTCCGCCTCCTCATGCCTGCACCTGTGCCAGGAAGCCACCCCCTGCAGCGGACTCTCTTCAGAGGAGATCAATGACTACCCGCAGCCAGCCCAGCCCAGCTGCTCCAGCTCCCCCAACCAGCACGCAGGATTCAGTTCATCTGCATAACAGCTGGGTCTTGAACAGCAACATACCATTGGAGACCAGGTACTTAAGCTATTATTGATCCCACTAAACTTAAGTATTGGCAGAGGATGGTTCCACTGATTGCAGAAACTCATTTCATCACACACATCTGCAGAGACACACAAATGCACAAACAGATACATACCCAGATGCATGGGCAAAAAGGAAGACCCCTTCACAGGCACAGATGTGCAAACAGACACACACATTTAGATCCAGCCACAGACACAGACCAGAGCAGATACACGTGAAAAGATGAAGCCGCAGATACATAAACACCCTGCTGTCACATATTCACAAAAACATAAAACAAAGCAATTATCTAAGCTGTCACTGAAGCCTCAAAGTGAAACGCAATTGTCCCTTGGTTTAAAAAACTACAGTATTACAGGAAAACCCAAACACAACTGGAGGAGGAGTGATCATTCCTATTTTATTTATTGTAAGATTCTTTGAAAAAATAAGCTGCCTTCAAACATTTAAAAAAATAAAAGGATCAGCCTCATGTAATGGAAGTATATGTGTACATTTAAACACTAAATTCTGCCTTTAGGGTTAAGCTTTTGGTCTTTCGAGCAAAAAAGTTTGCCTGTTTTTCTTCACATGTTTAGTTTTCTAGATTCATTCCTCAGAGCTTTGTCGTGATAAAAGTTCTACTCTTTGCAGTTATAGGTCCCTTGATCATGATAGATTTTAGCACTAGATACAAGTAACAAAGAAATTACTCATCATTTCTAGTCACTTTCTTAAATCAAAAATTACAACTTTATATTGACATAGAAAAACATGAACTAATAGTCATATGGAACCAAAAAAGAGCCCGCATCTCCAAGACAATCCTAAGTCAAAAGAACAAAGCTGGAGGCATCATGCTACCTGACTTCAAACTATACTACAAGGCTACAGTAACCAAAACAGCATGATACTGGTACCAAAACAGAGATATAGACCAATGGAACAGAACCGAGTCCTCAGAAATAATACCGCACATCTACAGCCATCTGATCTTTGACAAACCTGAGAGAAACAAGAAATGGGGAAAGCATTCCCTATTTAATAAATGGTGCTGGGAAAATTGGCTAGCCATAAGTAGAAAACTGAAACTGGATCCTTTCCTTACTCCTTATGTGAAAATTAATTCAAGATGGATTAGAGACTTAAATGTTAGACCTAATACCATAAAAACCCTAGAGGAAAACCTAGGTAGTACCATTCAGGACATAGGCATGGGCA